TGCCATCACTTGAGACTTTGAAGAAGAGATTGGACTGCCATTTGTCAGAAATGGTGTAGGGTCTCCCACTTGGGCGGGGGGTTGGACTAGATCAGGGGTCCCCAACCACCGGTCCACGGACTGGTCCCGGTCCGCGGAACAACTCCTACCGGGCCGCGGCTTGCTGGGCGCCGCCATCTTTTTTTGATGAAAAAGTGCTTCCGGTGAGCTTTTCCGGGTAGAAAGCTCACCGGAAGCACGTTTTCATAAAAAAAAATGGCGCCAGCGCTTCCGGTGAGCTTTTCCGGGTAGAAAGCTCACCGGAAGCACGTTTTCATCAAAAAAAGATGGCGGCACCCAGCTGATGCCGGTACCGGGCCGCGGCGCCCAGCTGATGCCGGTACCGGGCCGCGGCGCCCAGCTGATGCCGGTACCGGGCCGCGGCGTCAAAAAGGTTGGGGATCACTGGACTAGATGACCTACAAGGTCCCTTCCAACTCTGATTATCTGTTAAATCTGTGTGTATGTGTGTATCTGATGATGGCAGATGAGATTCTGCCGAAACGTTGCTACAACTTTAAAAGCACAACTATAATGACGTGGGAAAATACCCGAACAAAGCTGAATAACACACACACACACATACACATATACATATATATATACATACATATATATACATACATACATATATATTACAATCTATTCTAAAAATATTAGTTCCAGGTATGCTTGTAAAAGAAGAAACAGACATCTCTCCAGAACTAAAATTATATTTATTATACTCATTAAGCTTTCATCAGCGTCTGCTGACATCGTCAGAGTATTAAGCTACTGTTACAGAGATTTATACCATTCTATATCATTGCCTGGGTAATAGGCCTCCACCTCTAATTAACCCTATTTTTGCTTCAGTCATGTTGGTCAAAGGAGGCTCATCTGTTGTCGTTGTTTCCTCCTTTGTCCCAGGCTGGGTCTGACAAGGGAGGAAACAACAACAAAAGACATATATATATGTTGTTTCTTATCCAGATCTGTTTTCTTAAATTCTGTCTTCCTTGGGCATCTCAGGGTCCGGAGCAGAACTTTCCATAAGCGGCTAGTATTTCTCTGTCTTTAGGAAAATCAAATCGCTGGGTGAAGATGACCCCTGGCTGGACGATACGGCGGCCTGGATTGAGAGAAGCCGGAAGCTGCAGGTGGAGAAAGAGATGGCAGAGAAGAGGGTCAGTGTTGGTGGCCCTTTTAAAATCCCTGGAGGTTTTCAAGAAAAGATTGGAGAACCGTGTGAGTTCTCCTGCCTTGAGCAGGGGGTTGGACTAGAAGACCTCCAAGGTCCCTCCCAGTCCTAGGATTCTATGATTCTATGGAACAGGGGTCTCCAACCTTGGCCACTTTAAGACTTGTGGACTTCCACTCCCAGAATTCTTGTGGACTTCCACTCCCAGAATTCTCCCAGAAGTCCACAAGGGATGGCTGGGGAATTCTGGGAGTGGAAGTCCACAAGTCTTAAAGTGGCCACGGTTGGAGACCCCTGTTCCATAGTGTCTACCATCAGTTTTGAAGCTAAGGGTTTAGTGTCCTTCAGGAGTGTCGCTTTTAGCCTTTCCCGAGGAATTGACAGCTCTTAAGACTTGTGGACTTCAACTCCCAGAATTCCTCCTCCTCCAGTCATGTTAGCTCAGGAATTCTGGGAGTTGAAGTCCACAAGTCTTCAACTTGCCAAGTTTGAAGAGCCTTGTTCTACGCTTGAGATGGGGTGCGGAACCCAGAACGAGTCCGCTCTCTGCCCCAGGACCTAGAATTGCATATCTACAGGCCATAGCCATAGCCCTTAGACTTATATCCTGCTAAATGGTGCTTTCCAGCCCTCTCTAAGCAGTTTACAGAGGCAGCCTATTTGCACCCAACAATCTGGGTCCTCATTTACCCACCTCGGAAGGACGGAAAGCTTGAGTCAACCTGGAACCTGGTGAGATTCAATCTGCCAAATTGCAGGCAGCCGGCAGGCAGCAGAAGTAGCCTGCAGCACCGCTGTCATGCCCCAGTTAGAAATCTGATTCCGAGGGAGAGGTGGAACAGCTGACAGGGAGTGGGGCTCCGGTGGCTGTGGAGGAAACTGAGGAAGGGCCCAGGCCGGCTGGGCATTCAGAGGAAGACCCAGGCCCACCTCTTCTTTATCCTCGGGCACGCAGGGAGGAACGGATAAGGAAGCAACGGATAAGGAAGCAACGTGGTTTACAGGGGAGGAAAGGGCCCTGATCCCCTCCATGGGCTGCAGCTGGGAAGGCTGTTTAAAAAGGCAAACTGCGCATGGCAAAGTTGCTGGAAGCGAAGCGTGCGTTATCTGTGTCAAGGCTTATCTGGGTTTTGGCGTCCTCCCAACTGTGTGTGCCTAGTTAACTTTTGGAAGTCTGCAAGTTGTCGGAGCTTATCCAGCAACTCCCAACTGTGGTTGCTGTGTTATCTGGTAGAAGTCTGCAATGAATCCTCCTGGCCTGCTGTATTAATTCCTTCAGTGTGGTTTGTGTTGGTTTTTTTTTTATTTATTTCGAATTAACTTTACTTTGGGTGCAGGCTTCATTTACTGCCTCCGTAAACTGTTTTCTTTAAGGGTTTTGATATCCAGCCGAGGACCATTGGGCATTGGGGCCAAGTTGGAGGCATTAAAGGGACTTTCTTCTATTTTTTGTGACTTGGTTATTTTTGTGTCGTGACCCGGGTCATCACAAGAGGAATAGAAACTGTGCATCGGACCACCCGTGAGAGCCGGCCGTTCCAGGGTTGCATTGTGAAACGCAAAACCCAAAAGCCCTCGGAAGACAGGAACGGGCAGAAGACGGTGTGGGAACGAGGGAAAAGTTAACCTGACGCTTTGCACGCAAAAACCTTAGATCTGGCTTTGCTTCTGCTGCGCCCGCTTGGCTTTAGCTCAGGGCACTTTGGGCAAACCATGGCCTCCGAAGGCTCCCTTTTCTAACTGGCCAAGCTGGGGCAGCCGGTATGTCACGAGGGACTGATGTCCCGGTCCTAACTGTCATCCGTAAGTCGAGGATTCTCTGGTCTGTAACGCCTCCCTCGGGAGGTTCGGAGCAGCCCCTCCCCGTCGCTCACGTTTTGCGCTCCTCCGTTCCTCAAACAGGCCAAGCTCTTGGAGGAGATGGACCAGGAATTTGGCATCAGCAGCCTCGTGGAGGAGGAATTCGGGCAGAAGAAGAAGGTAAGAAGAACGAATGGTCGCTTAACGACGGTTCAAAGTTGTGACGGACCTCCCCAAAGTTACTTGCAACCCTTCCTCGAAGTGATAACTCTCTCTCTCACACACACACCCTACACCAGAGGTCTCTAAACTTGGCAACTTTAAGACTTGTGGACTTCAACTCTCAGAATTCTCCAGCCAGCTCTGCTGGCTGGAGAATTCTGGGAGCTGAAGTCCACAAGTCTTAAAGTTGCCAAGTTTGGGGGCCTCTGCCCTACACACACAGGGCCCTTGTGGTTGTGTGATCATATTTTGGGGTACCTGGCAAGTGTTCTCATGTTTACAACTGGTTTCAGGTCTGCAGTTTGTAATCTTTTTGCTTAACGACAACATGATTCGCTTAATGACCCTGGTGACACGAGCACTGTAAACGCGAGTCGGGTCAAGTGTGGTCCAACTTGCAAGCCAAAATCCGGCCTGAATTTTGGGCGTGAGGAGAGGATTGCCTTTGGCTTTCCAGTTGGCAGAGGCCCTTCTCGCCTCCGCCCTGCAAAGAAAATTCACTCGCGGGTTTTCTCATTCTTGCTGTCCACTCTCTAGATCAAAGGGACAAATAGAGGACAGCTTGAGCCATTCCAGATGTGCCTTAAACATAATTGGCATTTACAATCCACCTGACAGGCGTGAAGAACCTCTCTTTCGGCCCAGCCCACCTTGCAGGGTTGTTGTGGGGCAAACAGGAAGGAGCGTTGGATAGATTCGCTACCTTGAGTCATTTGTAAAAAATAATTTAAGGTGGGATACAAGTGTTTTGACCAAGGCTTCCTGAGGCATCAACAAACACACGTTAGTCGCACAAATCTTTTGGTTTTATTTCAACGGCTGTGAATTATAGTCATTCACAGCCCATAATAAGTCTCAAACAATTTGTAAATAGTCCCACAGAAGTCTGCCAAAGTCCTTCGGGATAAGTCTGATCAGCACCCACCTTTATCTTCCTTGAAAGGCTGCCAACCGATTAGTTATACGAGGCCAAAACGGAGCACAAATTCAACACAGAGCTTCAGGTTTCAAACCGACCAGTACGAACAAAGTTGCTTCCTGCAAAGGCTCACGTCCCTTTGCTCCTCCTTTATGTCTTATGGGAGGGGCCAATCACGTCCCAGCCTTTCTCCCGAGTTGCCCCTGCTCTTCTGGCAGCTCTGTGCACGCGTGCACTGGGAACAGGCTCCCTCTGTTCCTCTGCCTCGCTGCTGCCAGACTCCGAAGGCTCCGGAGTCAGCACACAACAACAAGACACAAAGACACTTTTTCCCATGGGCCATCACTCTGCCGATTGATACACCTAATTCCCACAGCACTGTCCTAGGCCTAAGGATGTTTACTCGTGTAGTAGGGCTGTATTGCAATTATCCTCCTCCTCTTTCCCAATCCCTTCTCCTATTGAAATCTTGTGATTTATCACTTTGTTGTTTGTGTGCACACTGAGAGCTTATGCACCAGAGACCGATTCCTTGTGTGTCCAGTCGCACTTGGCCAACAAAGACTCTATCCATGCATAGCGATAAAATTAAAAAAAAATAATCCTTGCATCTTTTCGGGCAGCTCCTTGATTTGCCACCACCGTTTCTTGCCTTCCCCAAGCTGGGGGTTTCCCTCCACACCTTCCCTGCCTCTTCTGATGCCTGTTTCTGCTCTCTGGCTCCCAACAGGTGGGCTACAGTGCCCAGGACCTCAAAGGCCTGACTGTGGAGCACACCATCGATTCGTTCCAGGAAGGACAGACGGTGGTCCTGACCCTCAAAGACAAAGGTGGAGCCCCCCCCCCCCCCCACTTCCCTCCAGAGCTGACCCCACAGGTGTGGCCCCTGGTTTTGGGTGCCAGTCCCCCGGGGAGGAGCAGGGTTCTCCCGTGAAGGCTCTCCTCCAGCTGAATCCCTGGTGCCCCTTTAGGCGTCTTGGAGGAGGAAGGTGGCGATGTGCTGGTGAACGTCAACATGGTGGATAGGGAGAAGGCCAAAAAGAATGTGGAGCTGCGCAAGAAGAAACCGGAGTACAAACCCTACGAAGAAGAGGAGAGCGTGGACGACATGGTGGTCGTAAGTCTCCGTCCGCCCTTCCTCTTGGGGTTCCCTGACAGCTTCACCACATGTAACGGTGTCGATCAGTGTTTCTCCATCTTGACCACTTTAAGACGTGGACTTCAACTCCCAGAATTCCCCAGGCAGACGAGAGAGGGAGAGAATCTTCCGTAAGGCAGATGCCACAGCAGAGAATGCGTGCCTCCTGCCATTGGCCAAATAGCACTTAGCCATAGCCCTTAGACTTATATCCTGCTAAATGGTGCTTTCCAGACCTCTCTAAGCAGTTTACAGAGTCAGCCTATTTGCTCCCAACAATCTGGGTCCTCATTTTGCCCACCTCGGAAGGACGGAAGGCTGAGTCAACCTTTAGAAGGCAGGCAGGCAGGAAATGGGAAAAGCAGGAAGGTAGCAATAGCACTTAGACTTATAT